GCAGAGGGCAGAAGGTGAGTAGCTGGACTTTCTGGCCGCTATAGTAGAAGATATCCTGCCACCCACAAAAATTCTCAAACTGAAAATTCCCAAACAGTTTAAGGAGGAGAAGCTAAGCTATTGGGCAGCCAAAATATTACAAATATTCATTATACACGTCCATCTTTCAGGAACATGAGGAGTTATAAGGGAATCTTGCCCTATCCAACAGCAACTATTGCATCATTTCTGTAATTGGAGGCAATAGGTTACTGAATTACCAATCACTTGATCATTTAACCATACGCATACATACACGAGCACATGAACAAATTGCCCTACTAACTTTTCTTCTAAGTTTACTCGTATTCCTGTTGAGAAAGGGAAACATTTTTCTTTGATGCAGGTTAAATAAAGGAGATGGGCACAGGTGTCACTAAATTGCAACCATAGCTCCTGGCTGGTTTGGCTCAGTGGATAGAGTGTCGGCCTGCGAACTGAGGGGTCCCAGGTTTGACTCCGATCAGGGGCACAAGCCTGGGTTTCGGCTCAGTCCCCAGTAGGGGGTGTGCGGGAGGCAGCCGATCAATGATTCTCTCTCATCATTGGTGTTTCTATCTCTCCCTCTTCCTCTCCCTTCCTCTCTGAAACCAATAAAAAAAATTTTTTTTTAAATTGCAACCATAACACAGCCCCTAACCTCATAGGATAAATCTGACAATAATGTATCTTATCAAAGAAATTACAATTGGGAGAGGGATCCTTTTGAAAAATGCTCTCTTAAAGCCTCTTGCTGAAAAGGAGGAGCTAGCCTGGGGCATTGTTCTCTTTGGCTCCTGAATGAGCCCTTGTGCTTTTTTTTTTTTTTTTTTTTAAAAAAAACACCTTATCTGATATTTGTAAATCAATAGCATTGGGAAAATCTGCCCACCTCTGAATTCAGTTCCATATTTAGCCCTGTAGAGTCATCTGTTTATATGGCAATTACTCATTCAGGAATACTTATAAATATTATGTCTGTGCTGTTGTTGTTTTAGATTAGTAATTCCTTGGAAGGCAGGAGCCCTGTCTGTTTAATTAATTGTGTTTAATAGCAAACATTGGTCATTACATGTAAAGCTTTTAATGCTGCTGTTGAACATAATAATAATAAAATACTTTCCCTGGCTATAGCAAATATAATCTCTCTTCATATAAGACAGGGTGGGCAAATAACAGTCTGGGGGGCCAAATCCAGCCCACTATCTCTTTTTCCCTGTTTTTGTAAATAAAGTTTAATAAAACACAGTTGTGCTCATTTGTTTACAGTCTATGGTTGCTTTTCTGCTGCAGTGGCAGAGTTGAGTAGTTGTGACAGAGATCTCTTGGCCTGTAAAGTCTAAAATATTTATTACCTGCATTTACCAAAAAATGCTGACCATTGCCATGGCCAGGTGGCTCAGTTGGTTGGAGCATCCTCCCATATACCGAAAGGTTGTGGATTCAATTCCTAGTCAGGGCACACGCCTAGGTTGAGGGTTCGTTACCTGGTTGGGGCATGTACAGAAGGCAACCAATTGATATTGTCTCTCACATCAATGTTTCTATCTCTCTCTCCCTCTCCTTTCCTCTCTGAAATCAATATAAATATATTTTTTAGCCCTAGCTGGTTTGGCTCAGTGGATAGAGCGTCAGCCTATGGACTGAAGGGTTCCCAGGTTCGATTCCAGTCAAGGGCACATGCCTGGGTTGCAGGCTTGATCCCCAGTGCGGGGTGTGCAGGAGGCAGCCAATCAATGAGTCTCTCTCATCATTGATGTTTTTCTCTCTCTCTCCCTCTCCCTTCCTCTCTGAAATCAATAAAATTTCTAGGTATTCTATATCAGAATCCTATCTAATAAAGAGGGAATATGCTAATTGACCCTCACACCATCACAAATATGGCAGTGCCCACAGCCAATAAGGAGGGGATATGCTAATTGACTGTCCTGCCCTCAAAAGATGGCGGCACCCACAGCCAATAAGAAGGGAAGATTCTAATTGACTGTCCCGCCTTCAAAGATGGCAGCAAACACAACCAAAGATGGCAGCACCCACTCCCCTCAGCCCCACCAGGGTGCCTGCCTCCAGAGTCCCCCAGTCCCCTCAGCCCCCAGCTGCCCAAGGCCAGCCCGAGGCGCAGGCAAGCCTTGGATGGCAGCTGCCCAGCCACCCAGGGCTCAGGTAACCAGGGCCGGCCAAGGCTTGCGCTGCCAGCAGTGGCAGCAGCAGAGGTGTGATAGGGGTGTCGCCTCCTGCCCCTGAGGGCTCCCGGACCGTGAGAGGGGGCAAGCCGGTGAATTTTCATGCACCGGGTCTCTAGTTAAATTAGAAAATATAAAATAAAACTAAATTATTTAAATTGTGTTAAAGCTACAATATAGTGATTTCTGAGTACAGTAGATCCTCAGATTACTCAGAGACCCATTCCTATGGTGCGATGTAATGCGATTTTCGCCGTAACCCACCTACATAAGCACCTACGTCACTCACATGGAGCACATACACAGCAGTAATGAAGTGAAACAGTAAAAAAAAAATTAAAAGAAAGATAACAATTCCTGACCTTCACTTGTGGTAAATAATAAAAAACATAAAGCACATATGTACATACATCAAAATGACAGAACTTTTTTTTAAATAAATAAATGGGAGCTGGCAACATAACCACAAAAGGACTGTCTGTACAAATAATATAAAACTTTTAACCTGTTTGTCTTTAGTAATTCATTCTTTTTTTATTATTATTATTTTTGATTTCAGAGAGGAAGGGAAAGGGACAGAGATAGAAACATCAGTGATGAGAGCGAATCATTGACTGGCTGCCTCCTGCATACCCTCTATTGGGGCCCGAGCCTGCAGCCCAGGTATGTACCCTTGACTGGAATCGAACCTGGGACCCTTTAGTCCACAGGCTCACGCTCTATCCACTGAGCCAAACCAGCTAGGGCTAGTAATTCATTCTTTTTTTTTTTTTTTTTCTTTTTTAGTAATTCATTCTTAATCTGTTATCTTAGCTCAAGGTACTTCTCAAACACAGTTTCATTGTATTAATAAAAATTTCACTGGATTAAAACAATTTTAGGAGTTTAGAAGATTAAATATATATAATTCAAATTTCAACATAATATCAGATTTAATCTTATTTGTATTAAGTCTCAACCCCCTGAAAAATGTTACTATTACATAACAATAACATAGCAAAAACTTTTAAACAGTAAAATCAGGAAAAAGGAGCTTAATTCACTAGCTAAAATCCTTACAGAGTTAATTTGGGAATAAAATCCTTTTTTTTTTCTCACTGCATAACCATATTATCTTTATTCTACTAGTAAATAGGCTCAATCTGAAGGGAGAAATCATTCTCTATATCTTAAATGTTTAGCCTAATCAGGGAATTTAAAGCATAAAAATGACTTCTTGTAGATTAGTTTTTATTGTAAACACTTCAAAGCTGCTCTTCCCCTTTTTCTGCCAAATGTTTAATTATACCACTAAAGTGAATTTGGGGGGAGCCTCTTCATTTTAAACTTATTTTTAACTGAAATATTGGTGAAATACATTTAAGTTAAAAATTCTATTTTTTTAAGGGAACCTTGAAGGGGCTTTACCAACCTAGGTACAACTATTAATAGGTCAAAGAATTAATAGGTTGCTTGGTTGTAATGGAAGTTACTGGCTTCCCCTAAACAAATTAAGTTGGTATGTTTGCCTAGCAACAGCCGCTCAAACCTTCTGTTGTGGAAGGTTCCCTAGTAGTGAAAAGAAGAGAGGAGGGGGAAAAGCAGGAGCAGATTAATGTTTTTCCTAGCAGGGGACTGAGGCCTGGCTGTTTGAGGTGGGAGATAGCCTTTAGGTTAGCACAGGCTAGCCTAATCCCTCTGTGGTAGCTGGAAATTTGCTCTTTGTAGGACTGGGGCTACTAATTAGTAGGTTGAAGACAAGGTTACAGATTTAGTTCACTTCAAAGGCAGTCATTTCCAATCAATAGGAAAACATCAGTGGGGCTTCTAAAAAGAAGCTGAAATCCCAGTAGCAGGAGGGTGGTAGCAATTAAAAAGAACTCTCCCCTGCTCAGAGTTAAGGAAGGTGTGTGATGTACTATTTACAGAAAATATAAAAACACTATCTGTCATAGTGACTGGATTTTATCACCTTAAGGGCAGAAGCGTCTCTAAATATAGCACAGGACTTTCCTTGGTATTGGTGATGCAGGCAGTGAAGAAAGGATGGGAAAGCAACATCTCTGCGCTCTTAGCCAAGATCTGGGGCAAACACACACACACACACACACACACACACACACACACACGCACGCACGCGCGCACACACACACACACACACACACACACACACACCACAACACAGAAATGGGGATGACAGTGCAGAGAACTATTAACTGGGTGCTTATTTGAGGACGATCTCGCTTCTCTATTCTAATAAAACCATTTATTTTGAAATTAGATCTGCATCGTATGAAAAGCAATCCATTTCTCTCACTTCTTAAAAGCTAGGATCTGGCTAAACTGAATGGCCTTGCAGGGGTCTCCCATTACCCGGAAGCAGCATGGCTCCTTCTCCATAAGGGAGAAGAAACTTTCAGCCTTCTCGAGGTTGGCTCTCAGGTCCGGGAGCCATTCCAGGGGCCGAATCTTTTCCTGTCCCCGCTCTGTGCCCCTTGCCCCCCCCCCCCCCCCCCCCCCCCCCAGAGAGCTCTTCCCTTCCCAGGGGCCTGGGGACACCTTCTGGGGCAGCAAGTGTGCAGGCCTTTGGGCCGCTTCGCCCTGTTGCGAGGCCGAACTCTTTGGGGACTTGCGAGCGGTGGCTGGGGCAAAGCTGTTGTGATAGAGAATCTGGGTAAAATGAAGTAAGAACAAATGCTTCTGGGGCGGGTGAGGCGACCCGTGGCAAAGCAACAAGAATGGAGGGGCAAGGGCTGCGAAAGCCACGCGGGTAGAGGTAGTGCGGGACGGGAGGGCAACGTCGGGAATTTTCCAATTCACCTTCGCCGTCGGGCCACCTGCTGGCTGGGCGCGGAGGCGCTGGGGGCCGGGCCGGGCGAACCCGGGAGCAGTTCTTCCGCTCCGGCGCGGTGCGCTCGGGCTCCGGGCGGTGCGCGTCGCCGGCCTCTCCGTCGGGCGTGGCGTCGGCGGACCGTGACTCAGAGCGACCCTCCCGCGCCCGCGCCCGCCCCGCCCCGCCTCCGCTGACTCCGCCCTTCGCTAGCCCCGCCCCGTCTGCCACGCCCTCCGCTCGCCCCGCCCCGGAAGGTGGGGCCTCGCCCTGGTCCCCGCCCAGTCTCCGGGGCGGGCGCGGGAGCCTGAGGAAGAGGAAGGGGACGAAGACTAGAGCGACCGGGCGGAGGAGGAGGAGGAGGAGGAGGAGGAAGAGGAGGCCGACCAACAAGATGGCCCCTGCTGCCCAAGCGGCCTCCGCAGCAGCAGGTGGGGGGCCGCAGGCGGCACTGGCGGTGGCGGCGGCCGGGGCCCGGCGGCCTGGGACAGAGTCGGAGTCGACGGTGGCGGCGGCGGCGGCGGCGGTGGCGGTGGCTGCCGCGGCGGTGGCGACGGCCGCCGGGACTCGGAGCTGAGAGGAGCTTCTGCTCGGACCAGCGCGGTGAGCGGCGGCGGCGGCCCGGGGAGCTAGCGGGGCGGCCCGGGCTCGGTCGGGAACAATGGGCAGCGGCGGCGAGGAAGGGGTTGTCCCCGCCCGTCCTCTGCTCCTGGGCCGCGTCCTCCCGCCCGGCCGGCCTCGGGCCCCGCCGGCGGCCGGGGACTAGTTCGTGGCCAGCGGCCTCTAGGCCTCGGCCAGCCGCCTGGAGGGCCTGCGGGGCGGGTAGGCCGTGGGAGGTGCGGACGCTGCTCGGGACCTGGGGAGGGCGAGCGAGGCTGCGGCCGGAGGGAGGGGGCCAGCCGGCTGCCCAGCTGCTCCGAGACTGCGAGGCCGGGCTGGGAGGGGACAGCGCCCGGGAAACGCTGCTGGACCCCCCCCCCCCGCCCCCAGTCTGCGGGGTGGGGGAGGTGAAGGCGTCTGTAAACAGGCGCCGCCTCTGCCTCCCTGCTCCTCGGATCTGCTCCCTTCCCCGGCCCAGGGGGGTTTACAGCGTCTCTTTCCGTAGAGATCGATCCAGATAGTCGTCTTTCTTCCTGGTGGCGAGAGAGGGAAATCGTAGATGCAGGTGTCTTTTTAAAAAAATGTAAGTGCAGCACCAAAAAGTGTGCACGGTGGAAGGTGATGGTTAGCTGGCAGGATGGACAGGGATGGAGGTCTGGAGCCCGGCGCTCCCCTTTACGCATCTCCAGGGATCAGTTATCGCTTAACATCGGCGACGCCCACGTCCCGGTGCAAGTGGAACAGGGCGCTTTGGGAGCGCTCGGGATGTAACTCTTGACGTCCCAGAATAGTCCCTGACACTGGAAACAAAGCCGCTTGCCGGCGACGCAAAGACGAATTGTAATGTTTGAATAGAAAGAACTTTTCTTCGCAAGAACCGAACCGTTGTGCATTATTAATGTGCCGCCTAAGAAGCAACAGCCACTGGCGTGAAATGGACCCGATGGAGCGAGCACTCCTTCCTTCAGGAGGCAGAGTGGTTGGTCCGCAGGCTAGAACTTCTTGTGTCCTGTCTCATGTTCTAATTTTGTCTTTCAGTAACTCCTAAAATTATTCAAGACCAACCCTTTCCTCTGAGCTTGACGTTTGGTTTCTAAAGCATATTTTATAAGATTCCAAAAACGTTATTGTAATTTTTCAAAAACTGGAAACAACTGTTCTGTTTTGCTGTTTAAGCTTATCAAGAAACAGGTATTCGTTATATTTGTCCCATGGTAGTGGTGTCTGAGACTTCCACAGGTAACTACTACTTCTCTTAAACTTAATTTTTAAAGGCACCTACCACATCCATTTCCAAGTGAGGGGGGCAAATGATTCAGGTTATTTCTATTACATTTTCTACCTAAGGGTGCAGACATTATTATATTAAAGTTGTTTGCAATGCATCTAAGAAGATTGCTTTCCACTCTTTTTTTTTTTTAAATATATTTTATTGATTTTTTACAGAGAGGAAGGGAGAGAGACAGAGAGTCAGAAACATCGATGAGAGAGAAACACCGATCAGCTGCCTCCTGCACATCTCCTACTGGGGATGTGCCCGCAACCCAGGTACATGCCCTTGACCGGAATCGAACCTGGGACCTTTCAGTCCGCAGGCCGACGCTCTATCCACTGAGCCAAACCGGTTTCGGCCGCTTTCCTCTCTTTAAGACTAAATTGTGTGGCTCATCTAGTTGGTATTTGTAAAAGGAAGGTTGATCTGTGCAGCGAACATGCCAGTTAGTATCGTCCTAAGAAGTTTTGGGACCATAGCCCAAGAATCAGATTTGCATTTTCTTGGTAATATCTTTAGGGTAAATTGCTAATTAGAATTGTTGTCCATGTCTGTTATAATTCAAAGCATTTTCAGGTTACTGTATATGAAGTTTAATGAGCTGCCCTTACTAGTCAGCCCTTAGTTCTTGTCTAAGAGTTGACAGTAAATAGACTAGCAATTGGATAAACCTGGAGGTTGAACTATCTTGTTTGGGATTGAAGTATAGTGGGTGAATATGAATGACTTTCATTTTATGTGTAGCATAAGTAACTTGTGGATTTTTTTTACTTTTTAAGTGATGGGGAAAGAACAACTTTCACATGGCTCTTGCTAATGTGAATTTCCTGAGACTAAGTTTTAGAAAGGACACTTTTAAGTGCTCAAATCCATGATTTTTTTTTTTATGCTGAATTTTGATAGGTCAGTACACGATACAAGGAAAGTATGTTTCAGTGATTCTTACATTTGTCTGTGCTGCTAAACCTATTACAACAATTTTATTAACTTAAGAGCTTTGTACATTTTAAGTAGTTGTGCTTTGTTATGAAAAAATCTCATCATGTTGTTGTTGAAGGACTAATTTGCCTCATACCTAATGTCATTTTTCTGAAAACAATGTTTTTAAGTGTTAAGGTATTGTGTTTGAAATTGGATGTTGATCCAACAATTAATTTCTGGGTTGAATCTCTGTTTAACATTGAAAAATGTCTTTAGAGAATTAAGTTTTTATTTATGTCAAAACTTTTTTATGATATGATCCCTCAGCTGTCATATCTTCATTTTCAATGTTTATTCTGATTACTTCAATTCAGAATTTCTCAAGTAATAGTTAAGAATTTTCTTTTAGCCCTGACCGGTTTGGCTCAGCGGATAGAGTGTCGGCCTGGGGACTGAAGGGTCCCAGGTTCGATTCCAGTCAAGGGCACGTACCCAGGTTGCGGGCACATCCCCAGTAGGGGGCGTGCAAGAGGCAGCTGAATTGATGTTTCTCTTATCGATGTTTCTCTCTCCCTCTCCCTTCCTCTCTGTAAAAAATCAATAAAATATATTTTTAAAAAAAAGAATTTTCTTCTAAAAAATTTTGGGACCATAGCTTAAGAATCAGATTTGTATTTTCTTGGTAATATTGAAAGTCAATAGATGTTCGATTCATTTGAAAACATGTTTGGGTTTGTGGGGTTTTTTTGTATAGAAAATTACAGTTTTTCAAAGCATATTGTTGAATGAATAAAAACATTCTCATTTAATTCTCCTACTTAGGCTGTAATATTCTCAATTTACATATGAAGAATCTAAGGCTAGGAGAAGCTAAGTAACTAGCAAAAAGGCCACATAATTAATAGTTAAAAAGTTACTCAAACCCTGGTCCTGTGACACAAATTAGAGGCTTTACTATTGCTACCATATAGCTCAAGGTTAAACTTTGAAGAATCTTGTTTTGACCACCAGCTATGTCTTGTACTACTGTATTTGCCTTTAGCCCAGATATCCTTTCTATTATCATTATTTGTATCCTGCCAAGTATTTACTTATAAGTTTGAGAAAGTATATATTCATGTGAATTACAAAAGGCACATTTATATTTGCTTTTAATAGGTCTAAATGCTTTAGATATAGAAACTCATACCATTTACATAGAACAGATCTGTGGAATTGCTATAATTGTGTCATGGCTTTAATTTGTTATGTAAGCAATAACTAAGGTGTGCCTTTGAAATAGTTTATGAAAATTCAAAAATAACTTTAGTAACGTTCAATGTTGTTTAATGTTGGGCCAGCCAACATTTGAAATTCTTCATTTTTTAAAAGCCATAGACCATTTAGAATTCTGCAGCATTTATTTTTTAAACCTCTAAATCTTAGGGCTTGAAATGGAGTTTGATGGGGTCTAATCAGTCTACACTTGATTATATCTTGCAAGTGCTTGGCATCCAACAAAGTGAAGAATAAACTGATAAATGATCCTTGTTTGGTGGACACCTCGGAGCAAGCTGTTCCTTGGCAGGGTATACTGACCTGGTTTCGCTTTGGCCCTGTCAGTGCTCAGGAGTTCAGGTATTTTTTTGGGTTGGATTCCAAGGGATTTAAATTCTCAGACTGACCTGCATCAAAATAGTCACAGATTTCGAAATCAGCCTGTTCTGCAGGGTCCTCTTTAAGATCTCCTCTTTTGTTTAATCCTGGAGTCTAGTCTCGATTTGGACTAGCCTTAGAGGTTATAACATAAGATTAATTTGTCAGGTGCAAAGGGATTTTTCTCCAAAGTTTCTTCCATTTTCTATACATTTTCAAGTGTGAAGTTTACTAATCTGAAGTAATGTTGCCCTGCATTTACATAGGACAGGTAGCTCTAGCAGGTCTAAATGCTTAGTTAGCTCTAGCATCTTTATTTATATCCATATTGGTCATGCTTATGCCTGTTTGCTTTTCATATAATATTAGAGACTTCTGATAAGTGCACATGTTTTCCTGATTGGTTGAAGTTCAGGAAAGGAATTATAGTAAAAATTTTGAGTTCACCTTACATGTGCAGTTAAGCTGACAGAAATTGCATTCTGTCATAGAGGAATAAATATTCTAAAATTAATTTATATCTTTCTTTGAGATTATTTACAAATATATGTCAGCAATCTTCTTTTGACATTTATCAAGCATTTTAGTCCTGATGTCACCCCACTTCTCACTGTTTCTGAGAAAATATGGTAATAATTTAACTTGTAATGCATTTTAGCTAAAAATCTCCAAGATCTAAATAGCATTTGACCATGGTAGCAATGTTTTGAAGAGAATTCTAAAGGGTTCAATTTTATATATCTTAACATAAATGTTCTGTTGAGGTTTAATTCACACAACAAAATTAACCATTTAAAGTAAGCAGTACAACCCTGCCGGTGTGTCTCAGAGGGTTGAGTGTTGACCCCATGCACCCAGAGGCCGCAGGTTCAAGTCTAGGTCAGGGCACATGCCCAGGTTGCAGGCTTTATCCCAGTGATGGCGATCCTATGATACGCGAACTCATTTTTTTGGTTGATTTTTCTTTGTTAAATGGCATTTAAATATATAAAATAAATATCAAAAATATAAGTCTTTGTTTTACTATGGTTGCAAATCTAAAAAAAAATTTCTATATGTGACACGGCACCAGAGTTAAGTTAGGGTTTTTCAAAATGCTGGCACTCCGAGCTCAAAAGGTTCGCCAATCACTGCTCTATCCCCAGTAGGAAGCCTTCAGGAAGGAGGCAGCGGATTGGTGTTTCTCTCTCATCAATGTTTCTATCTCTCGCTTCCTCTCTCTGAAATCAACTAAAAAATTAAACAGTACAGTGGCAGTACATTCACAATGTTTTGCAACTGCCACCTCTAATTCCATAACATTTTTATCACCCCAAAAGGAAATGCTATACTTGTTAAGTGGTTATTCTCAATCCCCTTTCTCCCTAGTCTCTGGCTACCACCATTCTATTTTCTGTCTCTTTGGATTTAAAAGAACATTATTTTGAGCCAAAATCGAGGGAGAGTACCATGTATCATTGAAATTGCAGAAAAAATTTTAGAATATGATTGTTAAAAATTAAAACCCACTCATTCTTTTCATGCTTTTCCAAGTACAGTAGTAGGCTGTTGCCAGGTACTTTTTATGGAAGAAAAGTTGGAAGTCACAGCAATTTGCACTTTTAGTTTTGATCATTCTGAAGGAGTTATACTCAAACTCAGACACATTTGTATTTCTTCATTAGGTTGTGAGACTTAACTAAATTTCGATGTTACATTACACATGTGAGCGATTTATTGTCCGTTATCTGCGAATTGTTTGCCTTTTGGTTTTCTTAATGTATACAACAACTTTGAATATTAACAGACTTATTTGAGATTATATTGGGAAATCATTGTTAGATTGATAACCTTTGATCCTACCCTTATAAATCT